ATATATAACCTCTTCAGTCTTGTGTGTGATTAGGGAGCTTTGTAACAGGAGATTACACCTTGCTCAGACTTCACCAAGTCCATGGACATACATTTTTTGCAGTGATATTAACTATTTTGTTTTGCTGAGGGAAGAGCTTTGTACATTCGGGGATGGGAAAGAGTCTGTACTTAGACTCTAAACTTGATTTAAAGAGGGGGTATTATGAAAAATTGATTGTTTTGAGCTTATCACCATGTTATAATGTTCCCTCCTCAAAAACTTAACTGAAGAGCTCATTAACTGTGTTGTTATATTGCATTGAAGGGGGAGTGACTTAGCATGGAGAGCCAAAAGAGGGGAATCTCTGTGCCAGCAGTTAATACCCCATAGAAGTAAAATAAATTCTCTTTAAAGGTGCACTGTGTAACTTTTTTAATAGAGGGCCCGCCCCATGCTTGACTCCATGTAGTTGTATTGCTATTTATGGCATTTCTCCATGGAGACGAGCAGGCCACATCCTCAGGGATAGTTACAGGTCAGATCTGTCGAGAATTAGGCTCACTAACAGAAATAATGTAGATTTTTGCTGTAGTTTTGAGAAATAAAAACACCTGTAATTGAATAAATACAAGATAAATTTGTTTAATCCAATACTGTGGAGCATCCCAGGCAATGCAATAACATCACCATGGAGACAATGGAACAAATGGGGGATCATCCACCAAAAAAGTTACACAGTGCACCTTTAATAAATTACAAAACTTAAACTTTTCCACAATACTCTAGCGCATTTTGCAGTAATATTATGTTTTCTGGTGAATAGCCACACATCTCCAGCTCTACGTCTTCTCCACAGTGATCCAGTACAGTCCCCTCTTGGAGCCAATGGCGCAGAAGGTTCCTGGTGTATTAGAGTTGGTGCATGCATCATTAGGCTGGCTCTGTGTGACTGTGGTGCAGAGGACGACATAAACACGCTCCCAGCACCTCACTAATGCTGTTTGTCTTTTTTATGGCCCATTTTCTGTGCAGACACCAGCGGCTGAAAGAGAGGAGCTGTGCAAATTAAAAGCGGAAACCAGTCCACCTTGCATATTTCTGTGTTAGTAGCTGGTTTTTGAAGATTGTTATTTTAGTTATTTGTATAAAAAAATTATAATAGTATGTTGAGATATTAATTGGAAATGTGGGATAGTTTTTAACTTGCTGATAATTCTTGCTTGTTGGTTTGAAGTAAAGGGTGTACTCGAATTAAAGTACTGTTAAAAGGCCCATATTATGCTATTTTCTGATCTGTTATAATGTTGTTTCCTCATCAAAAACATACACAAAGTTTTCTTTCATTCACACATTTTTAATACAAAAGACTCTGTTCCACCTTGTAATGTCATGTGGTAATATATGAAGTGCTCCACTGTGTTTTTAAACTTCATACACCTTCTCTAGAATCATTTGGATGATTTAAACCCATATGCGGCTGTACCGGTTTGTCAAAGCCTGATCCCTTCAGATCTCAGAAGCTCAGCAGGGCCAGGCCTGGTTAGTGCTTGGATAGGAAACCGCTGGGAAAATCAGGTGCTACAGTGGGGCTCCAGTCACAAAAACTGTCGCTGTGTCCTTAGGCATGGCACTTCACCCACACTGCCTAGTATGAAAGTGATGAGTGCGTGAGTGATGGTGGGATCAGAGGGACTGATGGTGCTGATTGGCAGCCACGCTTCAGTCAGTCTGCTCCAGGTCAGCTGTGGCTACAATAGTAGCTTACCACCACCTGTGTAGTGGAGTGAATGAATAATGCTCTGTAAGGTAAGTTATTAACACAAACTTGCTTCATGACATCACAAGGTGGAACCAAATATTTTGAGCTTGGAGCTGTAGTCAGAAAAATAATAAAGGATTATTCAAATGTGTGAATGAAACAAAACACAACTCCAGATGTTTTTGAGGTGGTGCCAACATTATAACATGACTTAAATCTCACAAGAATCCAATTTGTGTAATTAGGACCTTTTAAACGTAGCATGTTAAACAATTTGCCATGTTAATCTTATGTCTTAAAGTCTTTTTACCTGACAACAATTGAGCTTAGATAATAGCACCACTTTTTGAAGCTATTGTGCCAGTTTTTGTTTCATGTGAATAGGCCCAGTTACAAAGGTACAGTGTTAATATTATGCCGGGCCAAAGAATCTGCAATCGACCATGTATCTCTGACCTGTCCTCCAGCTCAGTTTTTCACTATAGGGGCTGTAGAATGTTGTGATATCATGCGAACACAACCTATTTTATATACAGGCTCTCCTCTTACTGCAAAGACATCCATAGTCAAATTTGAATTGGGAGAGGAGCAGCGTAAACAGTGGCCTATCTCCTAAGCTTGGATAGTGATGTAAGATTGTGTACTATTCAATGCTTGTAATTCTGCCTGAACCACACTCATCTGGTAAAGACTGGCTTGAAATTATGCTCCCTCTGTGTACTTTCTCTATATCAACAATGTCTGTGCGTCACTTTGAATTGAACGGAAATGAAAAGACCTTTTCATGATAGAGATGAACACCAGAGCCCACAGGATATCGCTCATTAATGCATTCAGTGTTTAAAGGTCCTAAATTATGCAAAATTGAAGTTAAAATGCTGTTACCTCCTCTCAAAAACATACCTGGCTACATCTGACTACATCTCCAAATCTCAAAATGCTCTGTTCCACCTTGTGATGTCATGTTGTGGTAGTTTTCAAGTTAGCAGCGACCTTTTTACCTCTAGTAGGGATTGGCAATTCCAGAGCTGATTATCCAAATGACTTCAGTGTAGGTGTATGGAGTTTAAACACTCAATGGAGCACTTCTTATATTACCACATGACATCACAAAGTGGAAGAGTGTTTTCTGTTCTGAGAGAAGAACTCAGCCTAAATATGCAGGGTTTGTGTGTTAAACGTGTGAATGAAACAAAGCACAACTCCAGGTATTTTTTGATGAAGAAACAACATCATAACATAGACCAGAAAATAGCATAATGTGTTCCCTTTAAATGGCCTTTGGGAGCATTTTACAGTAAACCCCTGTAACTCTGGGGTCATTACTCTGTCAATTACAAGGCTGAGCGGTTTTGAAAAGTAAGTAACTGTAATTTTCCCAACCAATATTGCATCAAATCCAGATTGAGTTGACATTTACAAATGTCTTGAGGCAGTAACATTTGAGAAAAACCCTCAGAAATGAACTACTAAACAAATACAAGAATCACAATCACATTTCATAACATGTTTGTAAGGGCAGACTACTGTGTTTTATACATAATACAATCTTTTTTTTTTTTGTAACTTTATTTTTAAGAAGGTTTTAGGGCATACAAAGAATAATGAAGAAACTATAACAATCAAGCAAGATTACATGTACAATCAACAGCTCCCATATCACGATTAATCATAATACAATCTTAAAGAGACAAGGGTTGCACTGATCCAGCTTTTTCATTTCCGATACCGATTCCAGTTCTACCAATATGATACCGATACCAGTGCAGCGACTAATAAGTGCATTTATTTCCTTTAAACAAAAATAAAATAAGAGAAAACTGATCCAAATGTGTTATGTAGCTGTTATTTTATCTTTCAAATAACAGAACAACTTTGCATAAATAAAAATTCAAACATTCTGAGTTAACTATGACCTGTAAATAGTTGTATTATGCAAATTGTCTATGTCCAACCAGGATATCGCCTGAACTGATACTTGGAAGCCGATATCCAATACCAGTATCAGATCAGTGCGTTCCCAAAATACAGGATATAATGTATTTTGGTAAATTATTGTTGCTAATTTTCCAAATACAACACTTAAATTGAGATTTTAATTCAATTGCAAATTACAACCTGATTACACTATACCCAAAAGTATGTTCCATCCAGGTGTTTTCTGTGATGAGGATAGATGCACCTGTCTCTGACCCACAGCTCAAGGTTATGTAAGAATCATGGTAAGCCTGTTTGTGTTTAACGAGGAGCACACTGCAGGGTACAGCTAAGCCCTGAGTGTTTGATATGCAACTGTTGCCCCACGAGAGAAATACTACATCCACCATCAGGTTCTTCTACTGTCCTGTCCAAAACATCTCTTTTTATTATGATTATACGAAAGAATATGTTGATTAATAGAGCTTTAGATTTGATTTGTTATAATTAGATTGTCAAATTTTGGGATGTTTTGTACCTATATGTTCATCACGACAAGTCTGGCACCAGTGTTTTCGTCTACTTATTTGTGATTTGTGTAACTTTTGTGTATACATTTATGACATTTTAGTCTTATAGTATAATTGTAATTCATCTTTTCTATAGTAATATCAATGCATTTATACATGGTCCCTGATAAATAAAGAATAAAGTAAACTATTCTGCAAACAATAGATTTCTTAGATGTACATTTCTATATGTTAATTCACTTTTGTAGAGTTGCACACATAATATTAATGTATTGTTTTGCCCTTACTTAACCTCCTATGGTAAGTGTTGAAAATATGCTTAATAGTTTTGCTATAACACTTGAAACAATTCATCTCATTAGTTTAGTATAAATGCTATGCCCATATCAGTATAATGTAGATAAAAGTACTTTGTTTTATTAATATGTGGCAGCTATAGAGCAGGTCGTCTGGATACGTCTGACTAATACTTTACAGTAGTGCAGTGACTGTTGTCTTTTATCTGTTCTCACCATGGCGCCAATGCATGCTTGTTAAATAGAGTGTATTGTCATTTTTGGTTCATACTCCTGCCAATGGTTGATTGACCAATTGGGTTATCATTAGAGTGCGCCATTACGCATCTGTACACACTATTTAAAGAGATGGCACTTATATGTGGAGCAACTCATAAGGACAAAATTGCTTATTCATCACAATATAACAAAGTAGTAACGACATGTTTGTATTTAATTGTTTTGTGCATGCGCTTCTGATGCTCACTTCATGTTTTAAGCTCAGATGCGCACGTCTGTATACAGTGTCAGTCTTACCTTGATGAGTTTGCAACGGATCTGCGCAGAGACCATGTGGCTGTTCCTCAGGTTGCCCACTCGGAACATCAGGCAGAGTTTTCCGTCTCTCTGGGAAATCACCGCGTCCTGGCTGAACATGAGCGTCTCTGCGCGCTTCTTTGGTTGGGACATTTTAATAAACATACAGCCGATGAGAAAAGCGTCCACTATTGAACCCAGTAAAGATTGGAACAAGAATAAAATGATCCCTTCTGGGCATTTTTCTGTGATGTACCGGTGTCCGTAACCTATCGTCGCTTCAGTCTCGATAAAGAAGAGAAAAGCTGAGGGGAAGTTGTAAACATTGGCCACGCATGGAGTGTATGAGGGATCGCGTCCATGGTTCAAGTCTCCTCTTATGTACGCTATGATCCACCACATCGAAGCCATAACCAGCCAGGCTATTGTGTACGTTAGGATGAAAATGAGCAGATTCCAGCGCCACTTTAAGTCAACCAAAGTAGTGAACAGGTCCGAGAGGTACCTACTCGTCTCTCCCCCCAGGTTTCCGTGTTGGACATTGCAGCGTCCGTTTTTCTCCACGAAGCGCTGGCGTTTCTTCTTCACCGGCGCGGAGAACGTGGGCGCGCGGTTTGTAGTGTTGACCACCTGGTAGTCCTCTCCAAATTTCCTCCGAAGTGCCGCCATTTCGCCCTATTCCTTTTGCGAAAACGAGCAAAGACTTTACAAGCTGTTATGCCATGTTTTACGCTTGTTACCTGCAGTGCGTAAAGGTCGCCATAACCATGTTGCGCGCGCCTTTTTCTCCCCCTAAACAAATAAATTCCCTTACTACTAACTCCTTCAATACTGAATATTTATGTTATGAACTACTATCCACTCTTCGTGCGTAATTTGGTGCCTTAAACTGAATGTTCCATCTGGTTGAACGCTTGGGTTTGCCGTGCGCTCTGCTCCTCTGCTCCTTGGCACCTGCTTGACTGACTGGCGAAATACAGAGCTGTAACTGACCATTCACAGCTTCTAGTGCACTGTAAAAAAGATGGGTGGACGCGTGTGTGCGCGTGTGATGTGGGAGGAGAGGGGGCTGGGAAAGAGGAGGGCAGAGTTACACAAGACTGCATGTGTGCGCGTGGAGATAGAGACAGCCGTGTACAATTTTCCCAATTTATGATTCTTCAATGACCCGATAAATTACAGCGTCGTTTAGTTTTCTAATGAATTAACGACTTTATAATCGAATGCGTTGGTTCATCTCTAATACGTGCGCAGATTGCTCTTACAGCTGACCTTTCCTTTGATTAACGCAATCAAGAGACACACAGGAGAGCCGTTGATGAGGTCCCACTGGCTTTTATGTCTGAGTGCGCCATCTACTGGTTACATTTGACTATTGATACGCGTAAATGCCAACCAGCTCTTGTTCCAAGCGCGCACACGTCAATTAGAATATCCGGAAATCACATGTTATTTCTGTGGCTATTAAAACAAAACAAAACAAAAAAAAAAAAAAAAAAAAAAAAAAAAAAAAAAGGTTTGTAGCTTCTCAGTCTCTTACAGCTCTCTTAATGCATTCATTAGGCTTTTGGTGAAATATAAGGTTTATGTTAGCCTATCTGTATTTTTAAAGTCAAAGATGGACTCAGATAAAAGCAGGTGTTTTTGTTTTACATTCTGGGTGTTTATCTCACTGGAAAACATGCATCCTACTGTGAGTGGGCTTGTATCTCCACAAACTTGAATCCTGTTTGGCCTGGAGGAGGGCCACATCCTGCTTGTTTCTAATGTTTCTTTGATTATAATCTAACACAGTATGGTAAACTTGTCTTGTCATGGAGAATGTTCCAAAGTTTGGTTTTAACTTTTTTTTCCATCCAGCAGGTGGTGAAAACAGCGGGGAAAATCACGTTGACGACTCTGCCATAGATCAGTGCCATCCACACCACTCGCTATATGAGCAGAGTGCACAACATTCTGCGCCACCAGCACCAGCTTGCTCACCTGCTCCACCTGCTGCCCTCAGGAAGAAGGTACAGGTCACACAAGCCAGAACAACCAGACTGACCAACAGCTTGTACATATTTACTGATCATAGTTGATCCAGAAAGTCTCATAATGTTCGAACTTTTATTATACATAATTGTTGTGTAGTCACTTGTGGGATACATACAGCTACATAACACATTTGAATCAGTTTTGCTTTTGTTTAAAGTATCTAAATGTCATTTTCAGGCCTTGCTCTGGTATTGGTTCATATCGATTATCAGCAGATATTTAAAGATACAGTGTCGAAATTGGTATGGGATCTGAAAAAGCTGGATCTCTACTCAAGATATTACACATGTGCAGTTAGTTACTTTAAATACATCCCAGTCTTTATGTGAGCTATTTAAATCTTACCACTGAATCTCCACTCTTCTCTCCATCCTTCATATTGATTTAACGTTGGGTGTCTTCCAGCAGAGGATTTCCTGGATTGCTCCTTTCCCAGTGGACAGCTGTGTAAAGTGCCCTCTTCATTTTCTGGTATTAACAAAGTACTTACTCTTTTATAGATCTGTGAACGCTGCAGTCTGGTCTACAGTCTGGAATACAAGCCAAACTTTGAGCTACTATTTTTAGCGTAGATCTGTCTGCAAATGTTCATTACATCATTTATTGATTCAGGAGTTCTTAAAATAATCTGAAAGATGATCTAAGGGCATTAAGTCAATAATACATGTGATGAAGTCATGTCTGATGTTGGGTTTTAGGCTGGTTTACAATGGCAATAAAATAAGACAATTAAAGCGCTCATACTACACTATTTTCTGATCTCTTTTATAATATTGTTTCCATACCTAGAGTTGTGTTTTGTTTCATTCACAAAGTGTTGTCAAATGTCAAACAGAAAACACTCTGTTCCACCTTGCACTGTCAGGAAGTGCTCCACTATGTTTTTAAACTCCATACACCTTCACTAGAATCATTTGGATGATTTCAGTCCTGGAAATGCCCATCTTTACTAACAAAACAAAAGCAAAATGTAGCTAATAATGCAAAAAAAACACCACTTCATGACATCACAAGGTGGAACAGATCATTTTTAGCTTTGTGGATGTATGTAGACTAATAATAAAGGGTTACTCAAACATGTGTGAATGAAAAAAAAATAAAAATACAACTCCATGTATGTTTTTGAGGAGGTAGCAACAGTCTAACATAACTAAAAGCTCACAGCAGTCAATTTTGCATAATATTACATAATATATGACCTTTAAAGATGTAAAACGTATTCAAATACTATTCAATATCAGCATGTTCCAAGTATCTCCAGGGTTGTGCTCATGTCCGCCCCAGTGGTCCTTATACCCCTGGTTGGGAAACACTGGCTATGAATACGTGACTACAGATTAATTTTGCACATTTAATGAAACTGTTTGCAGCTTGTGTGTGTTTGCTGATTATTATTTTGTTTTCAGTGGAATAATTAAAATGGCATTGTTAAAGTTTATTTATTTCATCTCAAAGTTAAGCAGCCTCACAAACATTAATTAGACAAAATCCATTTGCTCCTGTGGTAAATATAATTATTAATGTGGAAAACCGAGAGTGCTCTAACTGGCTTTAAATCATCTCAGGTGTCGATTCATCACACGAAAAGGCAATTTGCATGACTCCCCAAAAACAAGAACCCATTTTTCAAACAAATTAAGAAGACGAAGCTTGAGAAAAGAGAAAGGAGAGAGGAAGAGGGTGACTTGAGGTAAGGGACCATTTGATTAGCAGAATGGTGAAGTCCTGATATGACCTATTGCTGTCTAAATAGGTCATATCAGGACATTTGTATTTATTATTATTTATTTTTCATTTATTTATTCATTTCAAGCAGATCAATGATGAGAAGTAAATATCGTATAGACTTAATATACATTTCACATATTTGTATTATTTAAAGTGCCCATATTATGCCATCCCTTGCAATCTATTCAGTGTTGCTGTAAAATGGAGGCTCTGGAGCAGGAGTGCTCCATCATCTGTCCGTTACAGGTTTCCTTGAATGGTCTGATACAAACTCTTCTTCCCCAAACGATTCATCAGTGTCTGCTGCTATGTATGTCAGGGTCAGCCTGTTTACTGTTTGGACACGACCCCTGTGTAAAGTCAAACCTCTAATGCAGCTGCACGTTTTACTGTCAGGCATAACTGACAATAGTGAATACTAACTGTAACTTTTTGGTTGAAGGTCCATCACCTTCTTGTATCTATGAATATGTTATTGCTCAGACTACAATGTTCCATAGTATGACATTAAACAGATCTACCTTATCTTTTATTCAATTACAATGGTTTTATAGCTCAAACATATCAAGGAAAAACAGATATTCTGACTGTGAGCACGGTTTCCTCTCCACAGATCTGACTTGTAACTTGGTTGGTTGTAAACTGGTTTGGTCTTCATGAAAATAGAAAGGTTTAATACTATACTGTGAAACATTACACAATAATAATAATTTCTGTGTTAGAAGTGTTTTAGCCCAGTGTTCCAGTTATTCTCTAGTGTGGTATCATGACAACCAAGAATTAACATTTAAAACCTAAAAAATTGCCAGACGTCTATCAAATGTTTATAATTATTTCTTGTAAAATCTTAAATATTAGTTGTAAAATGAGCTGTCTAATCTGCCATATGCACTTTAATGTTGCTGTGTTCTGTTCTTTTTGACCTGTTTTCTTATAGGCAAAAACATTCAAATTTTGCCTTCTTTCAAAACAACAATTTGAATATAATCTTATACACAATATACTGCAAAAAATAGTAGTGTGTGAGTTAAGCAGAAAGAGGAAAGAAAGAGGGTAACTTAAAGGACCATTTGAGCAGAAGTAAAGACAGGGTCATTGCAGTTCAAAAAGGTCATATCAGGACAACATAGGTACCATCTTATTTACACAAGTTTAAATCATTGTGGTTTAATTGCCCTTACACCAAGCTCATACTGTAGCACTGACTGTCTGTTTATACTGTGCTAAATATGTGCAGTTGGTCAGACGTGGTTTAAGATTTTGGCTCCATATAATGTCGGGTCAAGCCACCAACTGGAGGCTTCCTGGTTCAGTCCTGCAGAGTGTTACTGACGTTTTACAGCAAAATTCACATTCCAGTCATGTAGCTGCAACCGGAAGGGCTTCTGACTCATCAAGTTGACGTGCAACTGGTTCTCTGTTACAGCCCCACATACCTGAGACTGAAAAGACAAAACTCTTCAGTAAAATTTAAAGCACGGATTGTTGGTCTTTGTTTGAGGATCTGGTTTAACAGTGATAAATTACACACAAAATATTATATTTTTCCATGTGAAGCTATTGTGGAGGGTCTGCCACCTGGCTATCTCCAGGGACTTTATTCCACAGTATGGCATTAAACTTGTCTGTTTCTATGGAGACAAGCAGGTGCTCGCTCCGGGCCCAGTTGAAAGTGAGAAGATTTTACAGGGTTGTATTTTATTTTTTGCAAATTGTATACCTGTAATTGAATAAATGCATCATAGTTAAGTTTAATGCTACACTAGAAAACAAAATATCTCCATACAAGTTGGCAGAACCCCCAAGAAAAAAAGTTTCATAGTGAAACTTTAAGGCCAGTGTAAGATTTTTTGTATTTTGAAATTTCTTACTCCACAGACAGACAATCGTTCTTGAAATTTTATGTTTAAATTAGTCTGAAATAGCATATACATAGAAGTTGTATAATCAGATCTACCGAATGAAGTCACCACTCAAAACAAGATTCATTTTCAGATTTTTTTTTTTTTTTTTTACTCTT